AGGGACCGCGGTTCAATCCCCCAGCACCACATGCCAGCCAGCCCCGCCCCCTGGTGGGCTGAGCTGGCCACACACACATAAATAAATAAAAATGTTAAAAAAATAAAAAGTTAAAAAAAATAAAAAGTGCAGCAGAGGCAGAGGAAGAAGGACAAATACTGTGTTAACAGAGTGGTGCTAAGATAGGGGGCATCCTGCTGTATCACGATGCCCTGCGAGCTTGAGGTGTACTTCAGACGTAGAGGATGAAGCTGGTTTCTAAAAATAACAAGGAGTGCATTTCTCATGTACGTGGGCACAGCTAAGCGTGCAAGGATTTTACAATGTCCGCCGTCCAGATTTTGCCCTGGTTTTTTGTTTGTTTGTTTATACCCTTCTAATCTGCCCCAACGCGGTGGCTAGAAAGACCTCAGCTCAGAAAAAAAAGAGATGGTGGAAGACGCACCTCATAGGCAGGAGGTAAAACGCGAACAGAGAACGTTTAGAGATGGCCGCAGTGTTTAGGTCCTTCCTAAAGGGAGGCTGAGGTGTGAGCACTTTGCAGTGGGGGGAGGAGGGGTCCTGATTGGGGGCAGGTCTCAAAGATCTGCTGTACCCTGATTGCTGACCTTGTGACTTTCTTCTTTGACCTTAGAGGTGGCCTACATTGGCACCCAGAACACTCAGCACAAAGCCGCGGTGCTGCTATGTTTGGCAGCAGGCAAAGCTGTCCTGTGTGAGAAGCCCATGGGCGTGAATGCCTCAGAAGTTCGCGAGATGGTTGCAGAGGCAAGATCTCGAGGCCTCTTCCTTATGGAGGTGAGGGACGAGGGGCTTCTCCAACATGCCTGATAGTGCTGCCTGCCATTAGTAAACATGGCGGGCAGCAGACATTTTTGGAGAACCAAGACATCTGCCCACAGTCAAGATGGCCACAGGCATGTTCTGGCAGCATGTACTGGCAGAGCCCACTGAGGGTGGGAACCAAAGTTGGTTGTTATCTCTTTAACAGGCAGTGAGGGGTGGGGGGAGATGGCTCAGTAGAATAAGCACTTCCCGGGCAAGCTCAAGGGCCTGAGTTCAATCCCCA